GGGCCAGGGGCCTTGCCTCGGCGCTGGAGTCGACACATGTGTTCAACGTCAAGAAGGGTGGGTAAGGCTGAAAGACAAACGCCACGCGGTTCAGCAGCCCAAAGAGAAAAAGCCGCGCTCAATTGGGCATCCGACACCGGGCGGCCATCTTCCTGCTGCTGGAATTGTAGCTGGAGTTGCTCATCGATGTCAAACCCACTTGCGGCCCTAACATCACGTTTTTGCTTGGCACCTTTGGACGCCCAAGACAGCTTGGCAACCGCCTCGAGAGGGCGCCCGGTGGCATGCCAGTGATCGACTGCGCCGAGGAGCATGGATTCGAAGTAGGCCTGCTTATCAAGCCGTGCCTGTGCATGAGCCTGAGCTCGAAGGCGGAAACAAACATGTGCAAAATGCGCCATCATCATGCGAACCTGATGAAGTTCCCATGGCAGGGCTGGGGACTCAACGCGGCGGCGGCACCATGCCCGAAAGGCAACCAAACAGAGTTGCCGGTGATAGAGGGTGCGAAGCCGCCTAACCTCGGCCCGCGCGTCACGAAGAGTGTCAAGAAGGCCAGCAGCAACGTCGGACAGATAAGGTTGCCGTTTTTGAAGAGGGGGCCGGGCAGGAAGGCAGCGGATCGCACGGGCATGGGCAGCACAAAGTTGCTGAACTCTCTCCGCACTACTACCAGGTGTGGACTGGTGAAGAGCGTCCCAGACAGCTTCCGCGACAGCGGCACCGGAGTCAGCCGAGTAGGGACAGCGTGGGTGCATCTTACCTGCTGACTTCCCGGAGACGTCAACAGAAATGACAATGGGCATATGATCCCTTGCTTCGCCATTCAAGATATCAAATTCAGGAAATTGGCGATACTGAGAGACCCGAGTGCCATGGGTAATAAGCAAGTGGTCCAAGCGTTGGGTCTTACCGCCTGTGTGCTGCCAGGTCCAAGTGGGTCCAGTGCAGACCTCAGACCAAGTGCCAGGGGCAGCCAGCGCCGTGTCATGAGCACAGGCAAGAAGGAGATCGTCACCAAGCCTGGCTGGGCGGAGATTAAGAAGGTCGCCAACGAGGGTCTCTTCCTCATCACGGCCCGTAAAGTCAGCATTGGCATCAATACCTAACAGAACAGTACCGCGATTGCAGGCAGGAAGAAGTTGCGTCTTGAGATCATGCCAAAACCGCCGAATCTCCGCGTCCGGCCTCTCAGCATGAGGTGCATGGGCTGCAACCAGAGTAACCGGGAGCTCAGCGCGTTGACACTGCACTAACAGAATTTTCGGGCTGGCAAAACGGATGCGGAAGTCATCCAGACTCAAAGCAGGGTGCAGCAGGTCGGGGCGGATCCAAATTTCGACCCCGAACAGCCCTTTCTCGGCTCCCGAACGGAAGCTGAGAAAGCCGTGGGAGGACCATCGGCCCGGGCGGCTGCGGCACTCTTGAAGAAAAGCAATATGTACCCCCAGAGCTCGAAGCTGTTTAGCCAGGTAGATGCGGCGCTGTCCGTGTCCATCCCTATTGAAGAAGGACACATCAACATCTTTAATTGTCTGGATGTTGGCTTGCACAAGAGTGACAGTGGTACGAAGAGGTTTGACCTGCTCGTCATCTTGCCGCACCTGCGGCTGTATCTGCGGGGGCTCTTGAATGGACGTGCGGGGGCAATCAACCCATCCCGGTGAGCGCCAACACAACCGGCCTTCTTGCAGGCAAGCTTGCGGCAAGAGCCACATGAGCGGGGCACACTCTAAAAGTGAGTCACCAAATGTAGTCGGCAGACGGCACCATCCGACGGATGCACAACAGTCATGAGCAGTTCCGTACCCGGCCAAGGCATCGGCAATTTCATTGACGAGGTTGCCAGTATGGCCTGGCACATGCCTGAAGTGCGTCGAACATCGGGACTGGATCGACTGCCATAGAGCCCGGCAGACACGGGCATGCGGCGTTGTCGCCGAAGCATGGCCCCCTGCGACTTGAAGCGCTGCACTGTTGTCAACAGCTAAGGTAATCCTGGCAGGCGCGTTCCCGGTCAGGAGCTGCATGTTGTCCCACCACACTGTGAACCACGCAGCAGCAGACACTAAAGCGCTCAGCTCCCCCAGGTAGGAACGAAGGTCGAGATGGGTTGCAGGAAACGAGGGAAGCCACGGTGTAGATGCTAGGCTGCCGGCGTCCCAGCCGAGGCGGTACCAATTACCCTTCCACGAGACCCACACAGCTATGGCCCAACCACCCTTGCCTAACCCACTACCATCAGTGGCAATGAACACTTCGTCCGGAACACCGCCTGGCCAACGGGGAAACCGGCACCATCCCTGATGGAGCAGGGAAGCCAGTGACGAAGGAAGGTCGGTGAGAAGGGGCTTAAACAAATAATGCGCGGCCAAGCCGGCATAATGATACCCGGCGTCCTGCAAATCAAGACAATGCATCGCAGAAGTCGCGGGAGAACCGTCGAAGTCGCGGTCATCGGCCGGCGCTCCCCACGCACGGCCATAACAGTCAAGCAGGGACGCGGACCATGCCGGTGGAACAAGAGCAGTCCGGGCAAAAGGCCTCCCAGCTGACTCAGGGGCAGCTAGCCAAAAGGGCAGCGCTCCTCCACGGCGAGGTCCCCCGACAACGGTGAAAGAACCCCGGCTTGGCGCAATCGGCGGCCACTTGGGCGACACCACACGAAGAGTCTGGGAAAAGACCGGCATCGCAACAGAAGAAACAGTCGGTAAGACAAGGGTGCCACTGAAGGGAAACGCACCGAAAGAGGCCCCTGCAAAAAGGAGGGCTCCTCCACTGGGCCAGAGCGGCAATGCATTCCGCGCCAGCAGAAGGCCAGCCAGGCACAGCATAAGACGGGGGGAGGGAGCGCTGCTACCAAGAGAGCCGCTATCACCATCCCGAATCAGACCCCGCGTGCTGTAACGGGAGACCTCCAACAACCGAAGGGGTGGCTGCAGAGGCAGAACATGTGCACGATGCGGATGAAGACTCTCAGGGACAAGGTGGAGGCCTAGCAGATCACAGCGGGCCGCCGGGATCCAACGGTCGACACTGTACCGGGCCAAGGAGGGACGGAATGTGCAGTGTTCCGGGTCCCACACTTCATTTTGAACGGTGTGAACCGTCAAGGGAACAGGATCACCGGCCGACCACGCAAACAGAAGGCCTGGCGTACGAATCTGAAAGGGGCTACCCCAAAATGCAAATTTACGGGCCTGATAAAAGGTCTCCCAAAAGCGGCCACTAGGAGAGCGCAAGCGTGGAACCCAGCCGGCACATGCCAGGGTCAGCACGTCCCCTGACCGAAGGAAAAGAGTCGGGGTAAAGGAAGTGGCGGTGCCACACCAGATTTCGGGCGAGGCTAAAACACAAGCTAAATCAGGAACCGACCGCCGACAAGCACGGATAAGGTCTGCAGCATGACAGGTGGCTGGTAAGATTGCTGCTCGAGTCGCAGGCGGGCACTGAAGCAAGACAACAACAAAGAGTGGATCTGAAGGGACAGGTACCCAGTCAACTATGCGAGGATCTTGAGGTGGCAGGACTTGAGTAAAGTCAGACCACGCAACAGCAGCATGACGCAACTCCGCCGGCGGGCGATCAACAGGACCAGAAAACGGCCCTGACACAGAGCCGGAGGGCTCCCATAGGCGGTGACATTCCCCTATAGGATAAGGTGTGTCATGCATCCTAACTGCCCTAACGTGACCCTGCCCGGCGGCAGCGAGGCCAACTGTGATGGAAAGGTGACGGGCACCAACAGCCTCATGGTACCACCCGAAAACCAAGCCAGCAAGCAGAACCCAGGAGCTCGGGAAAGTCGGTAGAAATCGGGTAGAGAGAAAGAAAGCGAGGAGAACCCAAACGCCACCCGATAACGGGGCGACCTTGGGCGCTCCTGACACAATGTCACCATTGCGGAGGACAGTGCCTTGGCGCAGTTCCTGGTGTGAAAGACCCAGCACTCGTGGTTGAGTGGGAATTGAGGGCACATCAGTCCATAACTGCCAGGCGTCCGTCACGGCAGTGACTGGTGCACACCAGCACCTACCGTCAGCTTCAATGACAACATTGACATATGTCGGGTCCTCGGACACCACAACTAAATGGGCATGATCTTGGGCGATCCAGGGTACCGGCACCCAACGCCCAGGGTAGTGCTGACAGAATTCCCCAGCAAAAGTAAAGTCGAGGGCCCGCCACTGTGCCCCTTCGGGTGCATGTCCCCGGGTTGCACGGACCCCAGGGCGCCAGAGTATAAAGTTTATCCGGGCAGAGACTGAAAAATCGACGGCCCAGACAGCACAATGCCGAACCTGTGCGTCAGTGTGGAAGCACGGGGGCTGGTAGGTAGGCTCGAAGGCTGCCGGAGGCAGGGCGACAACAAGATCGCCTGAACGCCATCGGATAACGCCGTCAGGGGGCGTTGACGCGGCCAAGGAGCTAGGTGCCCGCAGGGAGAGCGCCTGAAGGGGTTGAAGGAAACGGAGAGCCTCCCCCAACCATGACAGGGTGGAGGAGCAGGGAATCAGGACAGAGAAATGCCGGTCCAACGAGGACACCGCCAGACACACGAGGCTGGGGTCAGGGGGTCGAGGAACGACCAACAAGGCAGGAAGGGCGGCAGTCGGCCAGACAGGCACAGCATCCGCACCCCATGCCGGCTCACAGGCCTGCGTCAAAGTGTGAAGCTCCGTAATGGCAGCGGAGGTGTAAAGACGACCGGCCTCCCGAGGCCCTGTGAAAGGACTAAGCAGAACAACATCCAATTCAGGGCGGACCGAAAGATCGAGGAGGTCGCCCTCACCAGGGCGCGCGCGCCATGGGTACAGCCCGACTCGGATGGGCGGATCGGGGAGCTCGTAAGATGGCACCATGCCAGACCCTAGAACAACCCCGAGGGCAAGCCCTAACCACCATGGAGCGCGACCAACCGAAACCGCGAGAAAGCCTAGCAGAGCCGTAGGGCCGGGCGAGGCAGAGGTCAGAGATTGATGCCAAGTGTGCTGGGCACTCTGCGGCTGCACATCATCTAAACTGGGAGGCCGGATACTGAAAGGGTCCCAAACCAGATCGGCAGCCGGGGCGATAACCAAGACGTCCCCGTCCCGCAGCGTGCTACCGGCACGCACATAACGGATGGCAGGTAACAATTGCCAGCCCAAGGGAATGCGGTGGGTGTTGCAGCCAGCTAGGAAGACCCCCACCGGTGTCTGCTCTGGCGGCAGAAGGAAGAGCACATGCGCTTCAGAAATTGAGGTGCGGGACATTAGATGTAGGTCCGACAGGTCGCCTGTAAGGACTGGTACCCAGGAACCGGTTAGGGTCTCTCCGCCTAAGCTTCGAAAAGTGGGGCCAAGAGGATCCCAATACGCATTGTCACGTACATACACCAACTGGCCAAAACGGTTGGAGGTTGTCCACAGGGTGACGGGTCCTCCGGCGTCAAACCTGAAGGACAACGACCAGCTGGCAACCTGCCGCGCCCGATCAAGGGACGGATAGTGCAGAGCAGGGAACCGCGTAGAACCGGGTTGAGAAGAGTCAGGCAAAAAGCCAAAAGCATCACCGTTGCGAAGGCGGATGTGCGTGTGCATATTAGCGGCGCGGATGGAAGGAGGCGGAATGACAACCCAAAACCGTGTGCAGGGAATGAGACGGGCGGCCAGTCGCTGAATGTCCTCGAGCGACGCATCAACCGACGCTAATGCAACTGCAGTGCCACTGAGGGTGTGGAAGACTACACTTGCCATCCCGAAGGGAGCAACCGGGGCAAGCGTAACTTGGGCAAACGGAAATGCCCCACGGACGGGAAAGAAGCGGGTTGCCCAGGCCCCACAGTGTCGGGAGCCAACAGCTTCAAACAGGGACCATGGCCCTTCCAACCGGGCAAAATGAGATTCACTCCAACCCCTCAGGGGGCAAAGGACTCGGGTGGTAAGAGGCCTTGGACCGGGAAAGCAGCGGTCAAAACACAACTGACCGTCAGTACAATCAGGCTGCCACCCCGCCTGCAGGACATAGGGTTCGCCACTGCTGAAATCGACTCGCGCAGGAAAATAGCGCTGAGAGCTGTCCTGGCCACGGGAGCGACTCCGCCGAGGCGGCATCCTAGTGCGAATGGTGCGGGCTTCCGAAGAGTCGACACTGGAACATCGGCCCGAAGATCCTGAGGACACCGCCCAGGCGGGTCCGCTGAAACCATGCACAAGGAGCAAAAGCCCGGCCAACGCGGGGAACCGACGGCCAAACAATCCAGCTGCAAGGGAGTGAACCCACCAATCACCATCGCGGACACTGGCTTCCTCAGTAGCCTGGCTGGAGGCGGGGCGGAGGGAAAACCCGTGAACATACAGGTCGTGTGCAGCACCTCTATCAATCTCGACACACCTAGTGGAGCCGCGAGACTGAATGATATTGACACGCCCAAGAGCAGTGGCTTGCTCAACAAGCCAAGGAGGCGTCCCGAGGTGTCCGTGGCACGGCGCCCACCGGTATACACCCAAGGCATCCTCGTGTTGGCACACGGTGGCCTCGGCAGCATTCCACCTCGCTTGGTGTCGGAGGAGAGCGACCCGAGCGGGTCGGCTGGGTGACCACAACAGCACACAGGAGGCGTGTGCCACAATAAAGTCAGAATGCCATGCTGATGCGGCATGCGCAGCTCCCCAGGTCAGGAAGACGGGCGTTTCACGTGGCCCCGCTGAAGGGTCTGACTGGAAAAGCCGTACAGCTATCAAGTCACCTGAGCGCAAAGCGAGCACGGGTCTGGCATCCCGGATTGACGCAGCGAGACCGGGCGATAGGTGCACACTGACCCTGCGGCCAAAGCGCAGCTGTAAGGCCTGGGTTAGATCGCGGGGAGTGAGAAAGGAGGGCACAACCACACAAAGAAGCTGACCTAAACCCGTGACCAGTATGCATGTGAGCCTCCCTCCGGGTCTCGGGACCAGAACATGCGAACCATCGGTCACCAGCCCGGATTCGACAAAACCCCGATGCCACGACGTCAGGGTGTGATGTGCATCTGCAATGATCTCCTCAAAGGCATTACGGGGGTCAACCTCAACACGTTGCCAGGGTGCAAAAGGATTTGCAAGAGTGAGGGTGACTCGGTTAGCAGTGGCAGCAGGGATATCTGGGATTGCCACAGATGTTGCAGGAGCCTGTGGAATCATGGCCGCCGCGGGCGTCATGAGCAGCAGAGCACTGGCCCCGAAACTCGCGGGATGACCACCATAAACAAGTCCAACAGCGAGGACAAGCAAGAACTGGCGTGCCACGAGCAGCTGTGAGAGGGCAAGTGCAGTTCCTAGCCACAAACCTAGTTGGCAGGAGGCAGTCGCACAGCCACCGCGAGCGAACTCACCAAAAACAACATCCCCGTTGCGGAGTTCGCACGCTTGCTCTAGGGCATATGGCGGAATCCCGCCAACCTGCACCGTCGCAGGGCAAAACCTCAGTTGAGCGGCGAGGCTGGCACGAGACACAACACGGTCAACCGATCGGCACAACCGCCCTTCGGGAGTAGCTGCTACGACATTAACCTTAGCTGCAACCTCGTTAACCGCCATCAATTGCAGGGCACGGGCACTCGTCCACTGGACCGGCGTCCAAAAGCCAGGGAATTGGTGTCTAAAGTCCCCTGAAAATGAAAATGCTTCAGGACACCATGATTCGCCAGCCGGAATGCTCGTGAGAAGTGGCGGTTTCGCAGGACGGAGCAAGTGCACCGAAATCGGAAACATAAGTTGGAACCCCACTGCCCAGGGAGCGTGGTGTGCCGCGAGTCCATCCTGGAGGTGCCACGGCTCTACAAACTCTAACGGCTCATCAGGGTCCGCTGGGGGATCATGGATATAAACAACGTCCCCATTGCGGAACCGAAAAGCAGCAGGCGGAATATCAAAATATTCGCAAACCGCCAAACCGTGGGGAAGTGAAAGTCCACCAACTTCACTGTTGATGTGACGGGCAACGAAGGAAGTCAGCCACGCAACCGTCATAGTTCGAGGCGTGAGTGTGGCCCGATGGTGGCCTCCCCAGACAAGCATAATAGTGACAAGGGCGGGGTCATGGCCGACAGGAACGACGGAAAGTTCATTGAATGCAGGCCCCGGCCAGACCGGAAAGTAGTCTACCGCCCACCCCGGGTCATCATTGCGAAACTGGGCCCAGGCCTGAGTGTGACAAGTGTCCTGGGAGGCTGTAAAGGGCGGAAAAACCCCCAAAAAGGGGCTGTGCAAGACAACTTCAACCGGGTCCTCGCTCGTAATGCCAGAGAACCGCCGGTTAACCGGATCAATACCCCAAGGGAAGCCACCCGGCCTATGCATACCTAGAACCTCTGCGTGCCAGAGACAAAGAGCTAGAATGGCAGGGGCCACACCAGGCGATCTGGCGGAGGTGACAACGAGCCCAAGCCACAACCATGCGGCTCTGACTGCAGCAGAAGTAGTTCCGGGGGCCGAGGTGGCAGCATCGGTGTCACGCCCCAAGGTTTCTGCGGTGGCGGCTTGCACATCTCGCTGGGAGGGAAGCTGGCGGGAGGGTCGGCGCCCTGCCGCCAAACAGTCGCCGTTGCGAAATTGGACAACAGCAGTTTCTTCATGGACTTCCGGAGGTCGGAGATCATATGCTTGGCCGTCTAAGTGAAGCTCTCGGAGCGCCTCACAAGCTACACATGTAGGAAGGCAGCAAGGAATGAGGCGTCCGTCAATGACGACACCCACCGCGGCATTGCCAGGTGCTTGGGGGCAACCAATTAGATGCACAGCTGTGGCATCAGGTTGCGGCATGAGCAAGACCATCCCGGCCCAACCACGGCTGCGTGCATGGCCTTGAAACAGAACAAAGGGATTAAGTTCAGGCCCGGCAGAGTATTCAACAATGTCACATTGCTGGCGGGCAGTGAAGGGATTGTGGATACAAAAGGGCGTGCCCAATGGGATGGCAGCGGCAAATGTGCGTAGGCCGCGTTGGAGTCCAAGCAAATCAGCTTGGACCCGGCGAATAACATCCTCATCGGCAGCCGGCTCCCTGTCAAGAGTGGAGGGCCAAAGGCCCAGAGCATAATCCTCAAGAGGGCGGGCCGCACGAAGGTAGCGCAAACGAGGCTGGAAAGGGGCGTTCACCGGCTCCGGTGGAGGGGGTCCAGCCGGAGTGGTGAAGGGGACTGGTGCCCCTGAAGCGTCCGACATGTTCTCAGCTTGGACAGGAGGGGGACCGTCTTCATCAGACGACTCCTCGGCCGGACAATCAGGCGGTGGGAAGATAATAGAGCCTTCGCTCACAGTGGCAAGAGCAAGAACGCTCCTAAAAGCAACCCCCCTAAGACCGAAAAGAGCCCCAACTAACAACCAGCTAACGGAGGACGGGAGAGCCAGCTTGTGGCTGCCAGAAGTACCCCCGATATCAAGCAGATCGACATTCGGGGCCGAGGCGGCAGCGCAAGCGCTTTGGGAAGAAAGCCTCAGAACGGAGGGGGAGTCTCCAACAGGCTCGGCGTCAGGCTCCGCAAGCCCCGCCCACAGTCGTGACGTATGGAAGGAGAGTTCACGGGAAAGTAGATGCACCCGGGAAACGGTGGCATGGTCGAGACCGGTTCCATTACCCGAGAGGTCAGTCTGGACACCTTGATCGACCAAGGGGTGTTGCAGGGCGCCAGCAGCAAGTTGATTACCACGCCCGTCAAGCCGGATGGCCGGTTCCAGAGCAGGGCCACGACTGGGAACATGACGGAAGAAGGGGCTATCTATGACTAATGGATCAGGGTTCCAAGGATCATCGTCTCCCGGTATTCTTGCAAGAGCGCCAATGATAATCTGAATGACAGCTCCAGAGGGAAAGTCGGGCAGGGGAGCTCCAGGCGGGTAAAACTGGCCAGCAAAGGAAAGAGCTGGGCAACGGTCTGGCAAAGGTCCCCCTGGAAACAGGGCTCGGATGTGAGCAGAGACAACATCCCAATGAAAAGGGGTATGCCCAAAAGTAACAACAGCCGCGTCTCCCCAGTGCAACAGCCAGAATCTAGCAGTAGGATGCGTGGTGGGCACTATCGGCACAAAAAGAACGTGCTGCACGGTCCCGCCGGGTGAGGAGAGAGTAGACCGGAATTCACCAGGGTCGTCAATGTGGTGTAACCTGCACATCAACTCGCGAAGCCAACGGGTTGGGTAACCCTGTGGCCGCCAAGGCAGATCGACAGGCACGGGGACATTGAGTGTCCAGATCCGCATGGTAGTAGGTGCAGGCGGGGGAACATCAGCGACTGTAGCCAGGGCAGTGCTATAAGGCGGGTGCATAGCAGCTGATTGCCCCCCAAGAAGAAACAGGGTCAGGCCGCCGAAGACAGCCGGCGAGCAAGCTCTCGCCGCTACGACATGAAGGACGCCATCAACAAATCGTCCGACCAACCCTGGGAGAGCACGGCCAATGAGAGCCCTAGCGCCTTGGGGGCTCGGTGACATATGACGCACCTCAGCCGAGGGTTCGACACTGTGCACAACCCCATCAGGCTCAATGGCACAAAAGAAGAAGGAGCAGTGAGAGGTAAAGTGCTGGACGACTGGCCGAAGCAACTCACACCCAATGGAATCCCTAAGGATCCACCAAACTGGTGCGGATGGCGGGGTGACCAAAATGTCCAAGACCTGCGGGTTCGAGTCAAAGGCAACATGGAGCCCATATTCACAGTCAGGCAAGAAGGCTCCAAGATATGCACTAAGATGAAGGTCAAGGTGACGCGCGAGAACCCGCAGATGGATCGGGCCTTGTCCGGGTAACCACAGATGCAGCTGGATTTCATACTGTGGTGAAGTGCGCTCAACGTAGGCGCCTAACTGAGGCGCCGCGACTGCAAAACCATGCGTTTGTCGCCCAAGCTCGTGCGTCCAAGACATGGTGCAGGGCCGCGTGAAGTCACGACGAGTATGCAAAATGTCGTCAGCAGAGCGCCGAGGAACAAGAGTGGCGGGCTCAAGAGGCAGCTGCACCGAATCAACAGGGAGCGCCAGGAGACCCAACAAGCACAAGACCAAGCTGCGCCAGGGACAAGTCAGCCCAAGTGCAAGAGACACAAGAGTCGGTGGAGCGGGTGGTGGGCTAGGAACCGGTGAATGGCAATTATGCGCTAACTGCGAGATCCCTTCGGGCGAGTCATAGCCTACACTAACACACTTCCCAACGACACTGGCAAGGTCCCGGGGAAATGGCCAGATCTGATTACTACCCGACAAAAAGGTCTGGGGCAGCTCCCAGAGGGAGAGAGAAAGCGCTTGGGCAACGGCCTCCCAGGTAGGAACTGGTGTGCACATGCCAACAAGGCGACCCCCTTCGCGAAGGGCCCAGACAGCGAATCCAGGCACGCAGGCCACAAGACACTTTACGTGCCAAGCATCGCACCAGAGATCAACAAGCTCGGAAGCGGAATCCGGTGTAACCCCGGCGCCACAAAGGGTCGGGGGTGCTTGCAGAACAGCCGCAGGTGTGCTAGCGGAGATAAAGGGAGCGTTAGTCTGAACCCCAACACTATGAGAGACTCGAACCCGAGGCGGCGGCAGGGGCGGGGGACTACGAACAATCCTAGGCTCCCAATGCAAATGAAGGAGGTAGTCGCGAGCCCTTGCAAGGTCAGCCTGGACATGGACATGCCAATAGTGACAATCCCCTCGGCCGGGGATAACGGTACATTCCCAGGACAGCACCGACAAGCCAAAAGGCTGTAACCGACGAAGCAAGACAGCTGCAGGGCGATTGCTGTAAAGAAGGCTGTCGAGAAAGACAGGGAAGGACTCGAAAACGCCTGCAAAGGCAAGAAAAAGGCCTGCAGCGGAAGGATCAGAGGCATCAGTCAGGCGATAAGTAACACAGTCTTGGCCAGGACGAGCAACACAAAACGCTGCATGTGGGAGGGCATCTGCCCCAGGGATCTCAACAAAGACATGACGGCCAGGGATAACACTATGCAGGAGGGTGCTCAGCACGGTGATGTCAAGGGCGTACGACCGCGGAACCTCGAAAGAGAGCACCCCTTCGACGGAATGAAGGAAGGACACCACTCTCGACTCCCGAAGCCACCGAGAGGCGGAGGTGACATGAGGCGGGAGAGTGAACGCCGAGACATCAAGCGTACGTTGCTCGGAGTTAACAATCACCCGAATGACATCACCGTGGCGAAGTCTGTGTGCCAGGCCTTTCAAGATTTGGATGTCACTGCTAGAGGCTGCTTCCTGCGCGGCAGTAATAACCTGATTCGGACTATAGTCGAACGGAAGTTCGCTGCAGACAACCTCCCTGCCTAGGTCAAAAAGGACCGTAATTGCTTCCGGGTGCGATGGCAGGGACACAAGGTGAACAGCTTCAAGCGTAAGCCCTACCGACGCCGCAACAATCTGAGATCTGCCAAGTCGAATGGCTTGGCGGTACAGCTCCGCAGACACATCACGGGCCCGATCGGTGCTAGAAAACTCAAGTCGCACATCGGAGCCCGGCAGCCAAAGACGGCAAGTTATAAGGAAGACCGAGTCAGGTGACGGAAGCGATAACCAGAGAGGGCCATCCCCGAAGTCACCAGTCAAGAGCCACTTGGACTGCAGGTGAGAGTGGGCTCCAGCAGGAGCAGCAATCTGGCGGTCTGGAGCTCTGGCAGCAGAAAGAACAGCATCACGTGGCGATGCAGGTTCACTGTGGATTTGAACCGCTGCAACAAGAGAAAGGTGCAGCAGGAAGCAAGCAACACTCCACGTGCCAAGTCCAGGTTGCCTTCCGGCGCGCCCACCTAAGACACCCAAGATATGAGGGATTACCCAAGGCCTTCGCAAAATGCGGGCAGCAGCAGACGTGTCCGAAGCCGGCTCCTCAATGTGCTCAGCAGCGCTAGGGACTGAAGAATTAAGGAAAGCAGAGGGTGTAACTCCGGTGCAGGCAGGTATACTGGCGGGAGCGGAAGCTCTCGCGGGTGAAGGCAGCAAGGTGTGCTGAAGGGCGGAAATGGTATCCGAAGTACCTGGAGTGTCCCACCCTCCAACCTGGTCCTCCGAGGAAGACGAGGAGTCCTGTCGAAAAACATGCGGGAAGAACATGATAACCAACGGAAAGCTCCCTGAAATGACCTGATCCGGAAGCACAGAGAATTCCCTGTGAAGAAGACCGAAGCCACCCCTGGCACACTGATCGACCCATTCGTGGGGAAGACTGTTGCGATCCCGACGTGAAGCCGCGGTGACAGCGGCGAGCGCAGTGACAGGGGGCGAGATGCAGACAGTAGTCAGTCTCCAGCCCACAGGACGGAAATCCAAAATGCACGGCACCTCACCCTCAGCACAGTGAACCTCAAGAAACTGGACAAGAGGGAGCGAGGGAAGTGGGTGCCAGATCCGCAAAACGCCACCAGTAGCGGCAGGGGAAGCCCGCGTAGACACGATGCGTCGGAAGGTCGCGGCGTCAGCATAAACCGGGGCTTCAACGTATACTAACCCATTGGGTGTGATAAGAACGGCCTGGTTATGCGAGTGACCCGGAAAGGCGTCGTAGGCGGCCGGAGCAGTTGGGAGGCTCACCTGCATCGCAGAAAAGAGAGACAGGGGAGGATCCAGGGACGATCCGACAGGACCCTGAAGAGCCTCAACAGCCGGACCAATCTGAAACTGCAGCGTGTCAACATCTTGCAAGAAGAGAGGTTGGGAGGCAAGGGTCAACCAGCCCCACGTGCAACGAGCAAGAAGAAGGTCAACCTCCGCCGTCAGGGATTGAGCAGCAAGGGCGAGTTGGGCGATCGCCCTGCAAGTGGAGTCACGAGGACACTGTATCATACACACTCGGCCACCAAGCTGTCGCAAATCGACGGGCAGCCACACTTGCCGCCATGAACAAGCAGCTGGCGTGAGGAGAAGCTGTTCACTCGGCAACCCAGGAAGAACTCCTCGGACCCCAGATACAACGAAGACCCCAGTAGGGAAACCAAGAGCAGCGGCTAACCTAGCATGAAGCAGCGGCCCATGCAGCCATTCATCAACCAGAAAGGGAATGGGACATGGGTCGAGGACAGGCGCTCCAGGGGGTGTCCCCACAAACACCGCGAGATGCCTGCGGCTACGGTCAGTGCGTGGTAACAGCAAGTTACCAGTCCGGCCAACTGGATAGACGTCACACATCTCATCAGCACTTGGAGTGGGAAGGACTGGACCTGTGCTGAGAACAGGGAGGCCTTCATGGAACCCATGCGCATGCAACTGCACTGCTTCGGGGGGCTGCACAAGGTAAGAGGAAAGGACAGCAGCACCCAGACGGAGAGTAGCTCCGTCAGCAACCGAGAGGTAGAGCAGGAGCAAAGTCACATGGAAGTTAGGGCCACAGGACCTCCGTGGTCGCACTTTCGCACAGTACCGCACCCCGCTTACCTTGCGACCGGCAAATCGGGCCCCAACCGGCATAACACATCCACACAGGGCGAAAGGGGAATGCCAGAAAGAGAGGGAAGGCCATGTCCGCTCACCGTCGCCATCAGAGTGCCCGTTGCCGCGGAGCCAAGTCCAGCAACGGTCCCACACGCCAGCAAGTCCAGAAACGATGACAGGGAGGACCCGAACACAGTGCTGAGCGGCCGAACTTAGGGCAGAGCCAAAGTCCAAGGCAAGTCCAGGAAGGCCAGCAAGGAGCTCGCTGATAATGGCACACAGCATCATGGAGGCAGGCGGTCCGATTGCTGCAGCAACCCACCAAGCGGTTGCAGAGAGAACACAGCCAAGCTGCCATGCTCGGCGCCAAGAAAGGCGGGGACCATATGCCGAAATAAACCTCCCTGAAACCGCTACAACTCTGCACAAAGCTATGTACAGAATCAGACATCGCCCGAGGAAAAGGCTAGCCGCGATCCATGGGAGATACGAACAAACGTAGCCCCCAAGATCGCGACTAGCAGGGCCGATGTCAACAGAGACTCCATCGCTCAAGAGCTGGGCTGAGTTGTTGTGGCCAAGGGAAACGGACAAGGCATTCTGCACAGGATCTGGGCATGGGCATTGGAGGACATCTCGGTCGCCAGATATCCTTGTCTGATCAAGCCCTGCTCCACCACAAGGGATGGGTGTAACCATTCCTGCAGAGTGCCAGGCGCGTAGCTGAACGGGTCGAGCAGACTGCCGAGTGCCGCATGGATGGCGACCAACAGTCCCTGGCGGATGCGAGGAAGGGCACCGGAACAGCTTCGAAGGTCGCAGAGCAAGGTTAGCAGACGTGCATGTAGAGCTGCCAGCTGTTCCAGGGAGGGGGCAGCCACCACCTGCACCAGAAACTTCCACAGATCGTCTGCCGCAGCAACCACCTTGTCCATGGGTTGGTCGTCCTCGTGCCGTGGTAGCGCTGTCTCCTGCTCGTCGCACACAGAGAGCTCTCCGACAACATCGTCGCCACTTTCCGCTACCATCGCTAGGATAGCCATCCAAGCGCGGCACCATGCCTCCTGTAGCGCGCCCTTGTCCGGGATCAGCTCGGGGTCCTCCTCCACTGTTGTTTGGCGTGGGCGGGAAACTCCCTGAGGGGTAAGGCCAGTTGTAGTCCTCACCCACGGCTCGCCGACTTCGGTGTCCGGTGCAGGTCCACGACGGGGGCTTTTGGAGGGGCGTTCCACAGCTCCGCTGCCTCTCTTCCTCCAACGAGTGGCCGGTCGATCCCCGGCAAGGAACAATGCTGAACTTGCCGGGGGGGGAGGAGCACCACCCGTGATGCTGGCCGAACTTGCGCCGGAGTCTTGCCCTGAGGGTGGCACCAGCTCTGGGATCCATCCACCAAAACTGATCTCGGAGTCCTCGACGCTGGCCGGGAATGGAGCATGACTGGTGGCAGGTCCTGTTAGCAGCCCGCCAGCCATTCCATCAGCCGTCACACTGCCGAAGGCACGTAGACCAGCCGCGAGCCGAAGCACCTCGGCTTCTTGTATGACATTCCAAGCAGGCCCGAGCGATGCCTTGGCAGCCGCGATCCTGTCGTCCGTAGAGGAGGAAGCCACATCCCTGGTCTGGGCTTCGAGCTCCCCGCACGCTTCGACGAGGTCCTCGTCGAGTTTGTGGCTGAGAGCACGGACGCGAGTGAGGAGCTGCTCGAGATGGTTGCCGAGCGAAATACTCCAAGCCGCTAGCGCTTCCTTGAGCGCTTGCTTGGCACGAGCATCGCCCTCCACACGCTTGGCCAGCTTGGACACCAGGTTGGCCCGCCTCTGGGCGAGTTGCTCGGCGGTTGCATCCCCATCGCCAAGCTGGGGCCCACGCCAAAGGTCTTGGGTTGCTCTGGCCCCAATAGCTTGAAGCGCCGTGTTCAGTGCCGCAGGATATCCAAACTCCAACTTGGAAGAGGGGAATTCCTGACCTTTGCCGGAGCCCTTGGCCGGCTGCTTGCCCGATTTTGGGGCAGTCTTCGGCGCCATAGGAGCGCGACTGCCGTGATGATTGTTCAACAAGGCCTTGTCCCGAGGCCGACCTCGTCCAGATCGAAGACGGGCGCGTGCAGCACTCCTTTGTCGGCGGAGTCTGCGATGCCAGGGCGGACTGCGCGTCCGCGGTATGTTGGCTCGTTACAGAGCCCCACCAAATCAAGGATATGCCCAGAAGGCCCAGAAAAGCGATAACCCAGATCGGAGACCTCGAGGGCATAAGGTCCGGAGACCGAAATAAAAGAGGGAGGGCGCCCTCCCAATGTCGGCTAAGTTAATAGCAGCGACCAAAAGCCAAGGGACCAGCCCAAACCAGGTCCAAATAGGCCAGCAGATGCACCGCTTATCGAAAAGCAGGGTGCAGGAGTTTCCCTCCACGGGAAGATCTCAGCGCGGCGTCCACAGAAACCGCTAGGGTTGGGAATGCCGGTACGGACCCTACTCCTAAGGGAGACAGGGGCCGAAACGGGCTCGAGCCACAACGCCTAAAAACCCTAAACCCTCAATCCTAAACCTCAACCCAAGAGGCCTCCAATTCCCTCAAAACCCCGAAAATTATAGGATCCTTAAGGGAGGGTGGGGAGGGCATAAGGAATCGTTAGGGGACTGTAAGGGAACCTTAGGGAGTACTAGGGAGAATTAGGGATCACTAGGCTATTTACCCCCCTTGGAGCCCCCTCCCTTAAGGATACTACAAGAAAAACAAGAACTCCGCAAGCCCTACTTGGAGGTTCATGGGTAGTTATAAGTAGGGTTATAAGTCCCCTAATATGGGTTATAGGTATAGTTACCCTACTTATAACCCTACTTATAACTACCCATGAACCTCCAAGTACACCTCCCTGACCACCAAACCCCAAGGACGTTCAAGGCGAAACCCACGAAGCCTGCCCTTCCCAAAATCCGCATCCCCCCCTAAACCCTAAACCCTACCCTAAACCCCCAACCCTAAACCCTAAACTTCCTAAACCCTGAACCCTACCCTAAACCGCAAAATCCCGAAAGCCCAAACTGCGAGAATAAAACCGCAGAAGTTCTAAAGATGTACCTTATCGGAAACCTGTGGCACACCCCAGAAAACCTGAACAGCCCCGGAAAAGCCCGTATAGAAGGCCGGCAAACGTCGCAAAAAGACACCTACAGGAAATTGTTGCACACCCTTGAGCAGCCCTCCAGAAATCTATAGAAAAATCCAGAGGGTGCGTCTCTACTGTAGGGGTTCTTTCAAGGGATCTATGAGGGTTCCTTTATTGGGGTCTATTGTAGGGGTTCCTTTAAAGGGATCTATAAGGCTGCCCTGACAGGGGTCTAGAAGGGTTCTAGTTAAACCCAAAAGCGTGGAGAAATCGCTGAGGTCCTGAAGAAATCCATGCTAAGAACCCAGGTCCGAATTGAAATCCGACTTACCAGCCCCAGCAACAGCCCAAAGCGCAAACCCTGGGACCCAGACAGCCTGAACGTAAGACAGAAACCCCAAACCCGGTTTAGGGTTTAGGGGTTTTGGGGTTTAGGGTTTAGGGTTTAGCAACTCTAAGCTCCAGAAAGCCCTCTGCCAAGGCTCTACTACCGCAGCCGCCTCAGCCCCCAGGAAGTTTCCAAGCTGCGTCGCGTAGTCTGTCGCTGCGCCGGCTTCGAACTTCGACCTTTTCAAGTTTAGGACTTCTAGGATGCCCAGTAACCTAGGAATAAAAAGGGCTCCCTAATTGGTATTGGGTAACTTCATAAGGAACCTGGGACTGCAAAAAGGGAGTAAGGGTACTACTGGGCATCCAAGAATTTGATTGTGTTTATGGCCGATTAAGGCTTAGGGTGTAGACGGGTTTAGGGTTCAAGGCCTTCGGGCTAGCTGGGTCGTGGGGACTAAACCCTAAATCCGCGCAAAGCCCCAAAACAAAACCCTACTTGTAAGAAGCCCCCCCACTCGGCATTTGGAGGACATCAACAAAAAGATTCGGCTTAAACGTCCTACGAATAATGTAAACAAATGGAATAGGGTTTTTGAAGTGTATTATACTATTCCTAGAATAAGGAACCCCCAAAATAGTATAGGTCGCGATTAAAACCCCTATAGCCCCTATAGTATGTGGGTCCCAAGGTGCTCGTAGTGCACCATCAACACCTCTGAGCCATAGACCTGGTCTGCGGATGCAGAGCGTCGGTCTGCGCACAAACCTTAAAACCCTAAAACTAAAACCCCAAAACCGCCAAAAACCACTAGCAGAAACCGTCAAACCCTAAAATCCTAAAACCCCTGAAACCCTAAAAACCCCCTAAAGCCCTATAAACCCCGACAAAGTCCCTAAAACCCTGAACCCTAAAACCCCGGACTCAGGGATTGCAAAGCAACCCAGACGGCCACCGCGCAGTGGCAGAAGACTGCCATCTGAACCCAGCGGGCCATTCCAAGAGCGAGCTCCTTTTAGGGATGCTTTTAGGGGTTCCTTTAAGGGCTCCTATAAGGCTGCCTTCAAGGGTTCTAAAGTTTAGGGGTGCTTTTGGGGGTTCCTGTAAAGTAGGGGCCTATATAATTACCTATACTACTTTGGGCTTAGGGCTCTAGGGTTCTAGGGTTCATGGTTTAGGGTTGTAGGGTTTGGGGGTTAGGGGGTGCTTTTAGGGGCTCCTATAAGGCTGCCTTCAGTTCTAAAGTCGAGGGCTCTGGGTGTGAGGATTTAGGGTGTGGGACTCGGGGGTTCTACTGTTGATGATATAAATCCTGCATTACCTTAAGGACCCTAAACTATGGGAATTATGGTATATTCCTTATTATGGGTGATGCAGGATTTATATCATCAACCGTAGGAATTAGGGGTTAGGGTTCGGGGTTTAGGTTTAAGGATTCAGGGTTCAGGGTTTGGGGTTCGAGGTTTAGGTTTAGGGCTTTAGGGTTTGGGGTTTTAGGGTTTGGGGCTTAGCGCTTCGGGCATTTATAATTTAGGGGTGTCGTGTTTTAGCCCATAAACTGCGAGGAATTGTTTAGGATTTGGGGGTGAAGGGTTTTGGGTTCAGCCTTTGCAGTTTGGGTGGTTCTGGGCTTTAGCGTCAAGGGTTTAGGGATTTAAGGGCTCGGGATTCCCGAGGCTTTGTGGTGATCTAGGCGCGGCTCTTTGGTCTCTAGAAGGGCCGTCCTGGGCCTGTATTAGAGCTCCTTTAAAGGGGTCGATTAGGGTTACTATAATATGAGGTTATCTATGAGGAATACTATAATAATGTAGTAAACTGGTTAAGAAATCTTAGGCCTTTATGAGGGTTCCTTATATGCATCCTACTATTTGGGGGGTTGTAGGCCCAGGGTTTCTTCATCAGATTCCTACATTATGCTGTGTTTTGTGAGAGTTTGTGCACCCCAATTCGTATCACTGTAGTAACTTTTTAAGAACCGGATGGAGCAACCCGTCGTTCTGTTCAGGCCTAAGTATTAGGAAGATAACCCAACTTCAGGAATTCAGGTATCTGGCCGGGGTCCTGCTTGTGCCGAGGAGGCACCGAACAGCCCCTCAGGAACTCGAACTTGTGGATCCAGTACCTTAGGCTTTGGGGTTTAGGGTACCTTTGAACAGAGAGGGGTCTCCAAACACAGCTTAAGGATTGTGGATCCAATACCAGGATCCTTTGAAAATGGGATCCTGTACAGATGGATGGGGTCTGCAAAGGGCTTATGAGCTTTATCATCTGTCGATGTACTGGAGACTGCATCTGAAACAGTAAGGGGCGTCCCCTAAACCCTAAACCCTAAACCCCTAAACCCTACACCCTAAACCCTAACCCCTAAACCCTAACCCCTAAACCGTAAACCCCTAACCCCTAAACCCTACACCCTAAACCCTAACCCCTAAACCCTAAACCCCCAACCCCTAAACCCTACACCCTAAAGCCTAACCCCTAAACCCTAAACCCCTAACCCCTAAACCCTACACCCTAAAGCCTAACCCCTAAACCCTAAACCCCCAACCCCTAAACCCTACACCCTAAACCCTAACCCCTAAACCCTAAACCCCTAACCCCTAAACCCTACACCCTAAAGTCTAACCCCTAAACCCTAAACCCCTAACCCCTAAACCCTACACCCTAAAGCCTAACTCCTACACCCTAAACCCTAACCCCTAAACCCTAAACCCCCAACCCCTAAACCCAAAACCCTAAAGCCTAACCCCTAAACCCTACACCCTAAACCCTAACCCCTAAACCCCTGAACCCTAACCGTCAAAATGCCCTCAGGATGGTAGGCCTTCGGGCTTTAGGGGTTTACGGCTCAGGGATTTGGATGTCGGAGTGTTCGGGTCTACTTGCATATAAGGGTTCCTTTAAGGGCCCCTTTCAAGGGATCTCTAGGGATTCTAGAAGGGTATAGGGTTTAGGGCCTACTTCGACGTTCTTGGGTAGCTTTAGGTGGGGTTATAAGTCCCCTAATATGGGATATAAGTATAGTTCTCTTACTTATAACCCTACTTATAACTACCCGTGAACCTCCAACTTATAACCCTGCTTATAACTACCCATGAACCTGTAGGTTCCTTAGGGTACAGGTAAACCCGAAAATCCCCAAAGGCTTCCACTGGACTTCAGGGTTTACCTCGACCCGTGAGGGTTTAGACTGTAGGGTTTAGGGATGTACTTGGAGGGTCGGCGGACTTAGTAAGTAGGTAGTAAGTAGACTTAGAAGTACCCTAAAAGGGACCCAATTAGTACCATAAATTAACCAGTTACTAAGTCTCCCGACCCTCCAAGTAGCACCTTCTACTGGATGGCTTCTTTTATGCTTAGGATCCTTAGACAAGAAACTAGGCAACCAGAAAATGCACATCTAAGTAGAGCGGCCTTGAACCCGAAAGCCAACGGCCAAGTCTTGATAACCGATTTAGGCCTTAACTCGAAAATACTGTAATGTGAAAATAATATACAGCATTCTCTACAACACAGTCATAGACAATATCATATGCAGAAAAATGCCGTATAATACAAAGGAAATGTGCACTAAGATATGTGTATATATATATATATGTACATATAAGGCATCTGAGGCGCATGGAGAACAAGCGCACAGCGAGGACGATCAACACGGCCGGTAGGCAACTGGAGAACAGCAGGCAAGCAAAGACAAGGCTCAACTGGTCGGCGTGGTAGTTGGCCTTCGTGGAACCCTTTCTGTAAGCCTATACAAGAACCCGTTGCTCTTATTTCACAAAAGCAAGATAAACCTGTGTCTTTTCAGCATACTTCACGTCGTCCACAGCAAAAGAAGATTAACAGCTGCAACTGGGCGGCAAGCTCAAACTGGGGTGGCGTAAACAACTCCTTCATGGATCGCCAGTCAACCTTCCGCCCCGCCAGGCAGTAGCACTTCAACTTGAAGAGCAAAACGAAGCCAATGGCAATTATCTCGTTCATGATGCTGAAAACGATCAGAGTCAAGATCTCGACACCCACTGCTGCATTCCATGCCTTGTCGATGTCTTTGAACTGCCCAGCACCCAGTAGACCCAAAAGGCCTTTAAAGCTGCCAATGTAGAACTGGAAGTCTGCATTTACAAGCGTGACCACAACTCCTAGCGTCAGCACTTTCACGACAAAAGTCATCTGCATAATGCGGGACTCCAAGACAGTGAAGTTTGGTGGCTGCGCAAAGTGTGCAATCAGTGATATCCTAGGTCATCCAAAAAAAAGGTTCACAAGAATGGTCCCCATTGCCAGCCCCATAAAATTAAAGAAAACACGAACCCGAAGCCGTAACCTGAGATAATCCATGGGTTTAGGGTTTAGGGATCAGGGGTTACGGTGTACTTGGAGGTTCATGGGTAGTGATAAGTGGGGTTTATGAGTCCCCGAATATGGGTTATAAGTACAGTTACCTTACTTATAACCCCACTTATAACCCCCCATGACATGAACCTCCAAGTAGGGTTGATTCCCAAGCCTAAACCCTAAACCCTAAACCCTAAACCCTACAACCCCTCAAACTGATCTAACAGTAGTCACAAGCCCGAATGCATCCTACGAGGCTCCTACTTTGGCTTGCCGCATTTAACATAGGGACCTTTATGATTAGAATAGGGGGTTCCTTTAAGGGGTTCCAAAGGGTCTATAGGGGATCTATAGTCAAGTTCTATGAAAAACGGGCCTTGATGATTAGAGCAGGGAGTATAATAAGGAACCCCAAAAATCGTACTGGTAATTAATTCGGCCCCGATATTGGGTTGGCTTGCCACGTTGCACAACCTCCCGTGCCACGGGTTGGACGCGCCTAACTCCCTAACCCAGACCCACACTCCTTGAAACGAAAACCTTTCTGCAGTGCGTTCCGGAAAACCGTAAACAAATGGTAAGTGGGTACTATTGTAGACTAGTATCAGTACTCCCGCAGCGATGTTGATGACAGACGAGAAAGCCACTGCAAGCATCATCATCGCCTGTGTTCAAGGAAATCAATTCTGGAGGTGTTGACATCACTGAATCAAGTTATTGAACCGGCATTTTATTATGGTGAGCCTACGGATTTAGAAGGTAGAAGGTCGAAGAACTTAGTTTCAGTTGCCATGATGAGGGACACGTACAATGCTGTCTTCAACTAGACAACCTCGCAAACCATTGAAAGAACCACGCAGCCTGGGAGTAAGCGTACGTCTCCAGCCAGGAACTACACTCCTGCCGCGTTCCAGGCGGTACGTCGCGAAGAACATTTTGTATCCCAACCGCAGTGCAATTGCAGTAGAGCTGTTGAGACTCTGTGGCATCTGCTGCTGCAGGGCAGACGCCGCTCCCTTGCGCCTGTGCTTCTTCCCGGCCCCACTTCGCCAGGCTGAGGCAGAGTATCATTACCTGATCGAAATTTTTTGGTCGACGATGGTGTAGAGTTTATACTGTAGGATTTTAGGGTTTAGAGACATGTCTTTGTTGGTATGGTTGTCGAAAGTTGCTCCCAACGCATGCTGCCAACTCGACCGAGTCACAAGGACCAGCACCAGAAAGGCAGCGGCAATGACAACCTTCTTGAACCTCCTCTGTCTGATACTTAGTAGGGAATAGGGTTCCTTTAAGGGACCCTTTAAGGGTTACTATAAGGGTTACTATAAAGGTTATACTATAGGGGTTACTATAAGGGTTATACTATAGGGGTTAGTTTAGGGTTCTTAGTCGGCTGTCTGCTGCTTAGTAGGGAATGGTGGGATGGGTTATTGGAACCACTATTGGGGATTACATGAGAACTACTACAGGGATCCATTCCCCCATTCCCTTACTAAGCACCAGACAGCCGACTAAGAACCCTAAACTAACCCCTATAGTATAACCCTTATAGTAACCCCTATAGTATAACCCTTATAGTAACCCTTATAGTAACCCTTAAAGGATCCCTTAAAGGAACCCTATTCCCTGCTAAGCACCAGAGAGTCCTTTTGTTCTTTGGGCAATCGATGTTCTCCCAGAAGATGTCCGCTGGCAGCGGGGCATCGGAAGCCCGAATCGCATCGCCTTGAAAGCGCTGGTCCTCACCCTGCAACCACCTGAGCTTGTCTGCGAAGGGTCGTAAAGATCTGAGATGCTACATCGTCGACGCGTCAGCCCCGAAGCCTAAACCCGCCAGTATAGGGCTTAGGGCTTAGGGCTTAGTTAGGTTTTGCCCTGTATTTCCCAAACACGAAGCGCGCCACCTTCCCAGGAGCATGATGCGACTGAACCGGTACTCTTGGCTGATAAACTCCTTGTGCTTCACCTGGGGATTTGAGGGGTCACATCAGGCTTCAGGATGTGAGAGTTTCCGAAAATAGGGGTACCTTATTTTGGGGTCCTTGTAATAAGGATCCTACTATTTAGGGGTACCATATTAGGGTCCCCTATTTTCGGAAACTCCCATGTAGAGAAGGGTTTAGGGTTTAGGGTTTAGGGGTTTAGGGTTTAGGGTTTAGGGTCTTAGGGTCTCAGGGTTTTTGGGGCATATCGTTGAGGCTTGGGGTCTTCGGGTTCAGGGGATAGAAGGCTCATGTAGTTCAGGACGATGCACCGTTTAGTTCCGTTGCTGCACATGGACAACACAAGCGTGGCTGAGGGACCTGGCATTCTGAAAGTTCAGGGCAATCTCCTAAACATGGAAGCTAGCCAATATTAATACTAATACTAATACCAATATTAATACTAATACTAATGCTAGCCCTAAACAATATAGCCCCAAAACCCTACACCTGCAACCTTGAGCCCATGAAGCCCTAAGCTGTCCAAACAAACTCCTTTAACACTCTTTACATCTACACCCTTAGAAGCAACAACAAAAAAAAGCCCGCTTTAGGGTTCAGGGTTTAGGATTTAGGATTTAGGATTTAGGGTTTATGGTTTAGGATTTATGGTTTAGGGTTTAGGGATTATGTGAAAAAAAGAGAAACCTCTCAGAGTTCCGTGCTGCAGCCCGGGCGCATGGGTGAAAGTGACGAACGCTCCCAGGACCTCCAGCTCCTCCACCTTCACCTCTTCGAGCTCCTGTAGTATTTTGCCTTTCTCCGCCTCGGAGCTTTGGGTTTAGGGGTTTGGGTTTAGGGTTTAGGGTTTTGGGTTTAGGGTTTGGAGTTTAGGGTTTTGGGGTTTAGGGTTTGGGGTTTAGGGTTGCGGGTTGAAGTTTCGGGTTTAGGGATTGGGGTTAAGGTTCAGGGTTAGGGTCAAGGGTTTCAGACAATGGGGCCCTGAAGCCTCACCTTGAACTGCCATGCCCTGCATTTCTGTAGGCTCCGATTATGAAACCTACCTTAAGCCGGAATAACCTACCCTTTTAAGGACTTGTACAAGGAAATCATAATAAGGAATCCTAAAAAGGTAGGTTATTTCGGCTTATAAAGTAGTCCAGAGCTTTGGAGTTGGGGCTTCGGGTTGACGTGGCTAAGCAGCTTGGATGAGATTCAAAGTCCGACATACGGTTGATGATATATATCCTGCATGACCCATAATAAGGAATATACCATAATTCCCATAGTTTAGGGTCCTTAAGGTAATGCAGGATTTATATCATCAACAGTACCTAATAAAGTTTAGATCCTGGGTGCGACACCATACTGCAGGGGAAAGAATCATCACGAATAGTATCCCCGTATAGCCCTGATATCTCTATAGTATGATGATATACACCCAAACCCTTTCCAAATCATTGAAGCCCCTATAGAACCGGTTGAAAAAACCTTAAACGGAACCCTATCATCATAACACTAAGGCCCCTATAACTATATCAAGCCCCTTCTGCAAGTCTTGTTCTTATAACGGCTATAGTATGACAGACCCCCGAACCCTATTCTACTCACTAAGATCGCGATACAAAACCCATAAACTACGATAACAACCCTTGTTATAGAACCCTTATACGCCCCTTCCAACAGAACTGTTGGAGCGATTTAGGAACCCTTATAGGCCTTATAGAGCCCTGGAAAAGGAACCCTTAATTAAGGTAAAGACATGTCACCTCGTCTAGCTCTGATGTCCGCCGGCTGCCCCTTTGCTGCTTCTTCTGCTGGTGAGACCTGCCGAAAGGAGCGAAGTGCGAGCATTTTGGATTTAGGGTTTCGGGCTTCAGGGTGTAGTGCCTTACTGTTTAAGGTTTTTTGGCTTAGGGTTTAGGGGTAGGCCGTGCAACCATGCGTGGTGGAGCGGCGCGATCAGAAATGAGTAGCTGATATGGGTACTACCCCGGAGCAATTTTAAGCAGAACAACTACAACGTTGTTTCGAACAGCCGTGGGAAAGCTTCAAACTGCAATAGAAAACGGGTGCCACACCCTAAAAGCCTGAACGCCAAAAGCCTAGAGCCTAAACCCCCACCCTAAACCCTAAACCTTGTAAACCCTAAACCCGAAAAGCCCAAACCTCATGAACCCTCAACCCTTTCAGCTCTAAACCCTAGAACCCTTACAAGCACCCTTACAGGAGCCCTTAAAGGAACCCCGAAAAGAAACCCCGAAATCAGGCCTCTGGGCACTCTCCACTGCGGCCCGATACCGGCCGAGTCTCCCGTTGAAATCTCGGACCAAGCCTGAGATCGTCGGGTTCATAGGGTTTTATAGGGTTCATACTGTTGATGATATAAATCCTGCATTACCTTAAGGACCCTAAACTATGGGAATGGTATATTCCTTATTATGGGTCATGCAGGATTTATATCATCAACCGTAGTGCTTATAGGGCTTCTAGGGTTTAGGGTTCCTAGGGCTTTATAGGGTCTAGCAGAAGAGGGCTTCCTGGTTTAGACTTTAGGGTTTAGGGTTCATCGGGTTTTTGGGGTTGAAAAGGGGCTCTCCTTTAAAGGGTTCCTTCACGAGTTCCTGCAAAGGTTACAGAGTTGCGGAGTTTCGGGGTTGAGGGGTTGAGGCTTCCTTTGAGGGATCTCGCAGAGTTCGATTAAGACTTTTTTAAACGGATCTTCAAGGGCTACGATCAGGGATCTTTGAAGATTCCCTTATGGCTCTCTAGTGGCTACTCGGGGATCTTTGTGGGCTCCTATAATAAGGGATCCTGAAGCGTCCTTTAAGGGATCTCTCAGGCTTATTATAAGGGTTTAGGGTGTGGGGTTTAGGGCCTGGGGTTTGACGGTATGGGTGGTTTGGGGTTTAGAGGCTTGGCAACCAGGGCTCCGAAAAAATCCCAGAAAGGTTCCTTTTCTAAAAGGGCTTGGGATTCAAGGGCTCGTTTAGGGGTTCAGGGCTTGGGGAGGTGGGCCTAAACTTGGAAATTTCACGTCTCTTTTGCATAACCTGTTCTAAGGCCCCTGAGTAAAGCAGATCCAGGTGTAGCCTTGAGTTTGATAATTAAGGATGTCGTGAGGGTTTAGGGCTTAGTTGCTTTAAATACTCCTGCCAGTATGCAATTCGCGTTGCTACTCTCGCAAAAAAATCGCATATTCTTCGCCTAAGGACTGACTTTGTGCCCGTGCTAGTATTATGTTGGTATTGCTACTATTGCTACTCTTGCAACGAACCTGCATATTCTGGGCCTAGGGACTGACTTTGTGCACTGTATTTCGTTCACCCTCCGGCGGCGCGCAATCCGCAGCCTCAAGACGATGAAGGAGGGCGGCAACAAGCCTGAAGTACGTCGTGAGATCGCATGGGACCAGGTGCATGTGTAGAGGAGTTGTTGCTCCGAGACGGGATATGGCTGCATGTACAACACTGGGCACCCACACACACACCTACCTACCTACCTACTTACATACACAAATCACAGATACATGCGAGCATACATGCATACGTACATCCATAAATACATACAAGCACACATACAGACATGCGCGTGTGCGTGTGCAGGGGAGCCTTTGATTAAAGGAACAAATCCGCTTCGGGGCCAATTCGGGTCAACCGATGCTCCCAGAGACTCCAATATCCCTTAATTATGGAATACACCTTAAATTATAGTAGGATCGCTAATATGATTTTGGGTGTATTCCTTACTGTTTAATTGAAGGCTATTACCTGAAATTACAGGAGGATCCCTAATATGATGTGGGGTATATTCCTGAATTATGCGATATTAGAACCCCCTAAACCCTAAACTCTATAGATCCCCTATAGGTCCCTTAAAGGAACCCTAGGCCCTAGGTATTCCTTAAGGGATATTGGAGTCCTTGGGCTGTGTTGAACAGTGCTATAGGGTTTAGGGCCTACTTGGACGTCCATGGGTAGTTATCAGTGGGGTTATAAGTCCCCATATATGGTTTTGAGTATTCTTACCTTACTTATATCCCTACTTATAACTACCCATGAACCTCCAAGTACAACGAATCAGTGGAATCTGCGAAGTTTGGATTTAGAGTCTAGGATTTAAGGGTTTGGGGTCCAAGGTTCGGGGCTTAGCTTAGCTTAGGTTTAAAGTTTCTTAGAACACTTGCGGAAACTCACCCACCCCCGCAGAACCCTAACAGAACCCCTTCTAGAACCCGCAAAGAACCCTCAAAGAACCCTTAAAGAGCCCTTGAAGAAGGCTAAACCCTAAACCCTAAACCGTGCCCCCCAAAGAATCCTTTTGGAACCTTTCAGACTTTCAGAATCACCTCAAAAGCTGAAGGGGTGCTCTGGGACCAACGGACCCAAGGCGCAAACCGTGTCCTTCGCCGGACTCCTTCATTTTATCTTAAGGAGGTTAGGTCTTTACGGGGTTGAGCTTTAGGGTTTAGAGTTTAGGGTTTCAGGGTTTAGGATTTAGGAGTTTAGTGGTTTCAGGGTCAAGCAAGTGGGGCTTAGGTTAGGTCCGCCTAGGGGCACGTGCGAGGTTTCTGCAAGGGAACTGTTTCATAAGGACTTTGCAAACAGGTCTTGCATCGCTTTTACAAGGTTTCTAGAGGGTTTCTGTGAAGGGGTTTATGAGGAATCAGCTGCCATCAGCGATTCAAGGTGGCTTTAAGGTTCGGAGTTGGGGGGCAGTGTTTAGGGCTCTGTGGGTTCAGCACGGAATTTTGTTTACGAATGTTCAGGGTATTCCAGGGTTTGCATCAACCCAGAGACTCCAAGAACATCCCTTAAGTAACGAAAAATACCTTACATCATATTTGGGGTTCCTACTAAACCCTAAGGTGTATTCCTTGATTAAGGGATATTGGAGTCTCTGAGAAGCTTTGGGGGTTTAGGATGCAGCTCCCCATGAGGAATTTGAGGGCGGTGATTCACCGTGACTGCTCCGGGTAAATTAGGATTGAAAGCATGCGTGGTAATGGTGTTTGGAAACAAGTGCATTCATCATCTTCATCATCATCATCGTCACCATCTTCATCGTCATCATCGTCATCGTCGTCATCTAAATCATAACAACCATATTAATCACCATACTGATATACATGCTAATAACGAGAGTAGCCTTATTCTCATAATTTGTTTTGGCAACTAGACCCTCAACCCTAAGCCCCCTAAACCCTAAACCCTAAACGTCAAACCCTGTCCTCTCGCTTCAAGGGTTCGCGAACCGGCTGAAGCAGCTGCGACGACGAGTTCGGCCACCGCACCTCGCAGCTGACCTGATCCTTGCAGCCTTAGCTGGAAATGGGTGGCTGTCAAAATTATGATCCCTTTCTGGCTCCCTATTATAATACGGCAGCTAATTTTTAGGGTACCCAAAAAGGGACCATAAATTTGACGACTACCCAAATGTTGAAATGCTGGCAGTCTCTGGAGGCTCTAGGAGGATTTTTCAAAGGTTTCGATACCGGCTCTATACGGCTTCATAAGACAAGGGTTCAGAAGGGTGTCAAAGGTTTCTACAAAGGGTTTGAAAAGGGTTTTACAAGAGTCACATACGGGTTGTATAAGGGAGACTTCTAGACAGGCGTTAGGGTTCCAAAGTAGTTGTAAAAGGATTTCAGAAACTGCAAGAGTCGTAGAAGCAAACCTCTCGAGCCCAGGGGCCCGAAGCCCTCTACCCCCCGATAACTTGAGCTGCCTGGCCCCATACGTCTTGTAGAAACTGTATACTATACTTATAATAAGGAACCCCCGGAATAGTATTGGTAGTTATTTAGGCCCCTATATTACGAATCCTATGAAGCCTACGAGTCCCATGAACCCTCTTGACCCCTGGAAGCCCGGAGCTTCGGGTGCCGCCCCCACCCTGTAACAGTCTGTAACCGGGGTCCTGTTGTGGGGTCTATATAAGTGTATTGTAAATCTTTTTAATTGTGGGGGCTATAGTGTGCTGTCTATATCATGATGGGGTCTATATCAGTGCATGGAAAATATTATCCCACTGTTACAGTGTATACCGTTCTACTGCACTGACCAAATCCGCGAAACCCGCACACGCCGACTGCATGGCCTTGAAGCATTGCCGGCATTTGCCATTTTTCATCCTGTGCTCGTGATCGTTTAGAACACTCCTAACCCCAAACCCCGAACCCTAAACCTGGGTGTGTCGAAATAGTTAAAGAAGGCGCGGGCCAGCCTCCTGCCAAGACCAGACCCACATTTAATCGGGGGTTTAAGCTCTTGGGAGTAAGGTCCAAGGTTTTAAGGTATAGAGAACTCTCAAACCCAAAACCCCAAGCCCAAGCCTTAAAGGGCCGGGTGGCCGTCGGAAATCACTCCGATTCGGCGACCACGCGAATCCAGGTCTCGCTGCCAGGAACAACTCCTACACACTTTAGGGTTCTGGGTTGGAGTTTGGGGGTTGGGCTAAGGGGTTTGGAGGTTTAGTGTAGGGCTCAGGGATTGGAGTCTTAGGTTTTAGGGTTGAGGCAGGTTCGCGTGCTCTCGACAGACGGCACTTCAGGGTGACCAATTAGGTTTTGACGTTTGTGGTTTCTGGATTCTGCAGGTTTGCTTTGAATCAGTGTTTCCTACGACGTTTGCGTGCGTGTTTTGTAAGGCTTGCTAGGGCATGCCGCATACCATAATATACCCCGAAAACTCTTATTCGAGCTACGACAGCCCTATTTGTTTAAAGAGGCCTAGCAGTAGCATTTCTAGGTATCCCTTACTCTGCGAGTTTACACAGCTTCTTCCCTATCCAACCAAATCCCCTTCGCAAAAAAATACATGAGCTTACACACCTAAGCTAGTGACTGGACTTGAGGGTTTGTTGTTGTCACTGCGAGTTTACAGCGGGACCCCTAAACCCTCCCTGAACCCTAATCTATAAGGGTACGAAAATATAGGGGCCGAAATGATTAGAACAGGGATTTGGTGTATACCATATATTATGCTATACTGCTATAAGTAGAATAAGGTATACGTAACTATTGAGGCCCCACGCCTTGCGGGAGGTTCGCACATGAACTGTTCCGCCCGGCTGATCACCTGGCAGGTGAAGCCGAAATGCTCGGGCAAGTCAAACCCTAAACCCTAAACTGACTGCAGAGTCTTACGACGTTTAGAGTATTAGGCTCGAGGAGAAGGATGCTGTTGGTTGACTGGTGCTGGCTCTGTCTCCATGTCCGTACTTCTGACGCAATGAGGATGATGTTGTCATGGCGATGGTGAAGGACGATGATGATGATGATCATGATGTAATGCTGGTGATGCCGAAAGTTGTTCTTGGTGACGAGGATGAGGCCGATGATGACGATGATGACGATGGATATAGCTACTATCCCCTACTATTACTACTATTACTACTATTACTATTATTACTACTACACTTACTAATCGAGTGCGCAGGCGGGAAGGCTGCACTTGACTTTGCCCTGTTATGTACAGGTAAGGCAGTAACTGTCCCGGACTTTCTGGTGCAAGGTCCCACCATCCAACCAACTGTCAAACGCAAACATGTCTCTCCCTGTGCTTTTAACAGGTCGTGATCGAGTACCAAGCAAGGCTCTTTTATTACTACTTCTGCTACTATTACACGGTGGTAGTCAAGGCCATGCTGATGGTGCCGAAACCCCCGCCCCTAACCGAAAAGGGGGAGACTTTTCTGTCGCCGAAGCAATCTTGGCTGTGTAAGGCCAGCAACAAGTGAAGCAGGGTTTAGGGCTTAGGGTTTAGGGTTTCGAGTGAAGCAAGAACAGCAATGGCAACAATAAAACAACAAAATCTACTGAAAAACAAACAAGAATCACAACCCAAGCAAGAAAACCCAAAACCCCAAACCCGTAGACGCAAAGCCCAGATGCCTGCAAGAATCACACTACCCCTGGCTTGTGACCCTTACACCTCGACCCCGGTCGCTGCGATTTCCGGCGTGAGCTCCGCATTGAGCATCCGCTCAAAGTGAGCCTTTAAAAGCTGCTCGTACCTTGCGATCTAGAGTTTAGGGATTTGGAGTGTGGGGTGCAGGTACAGTACATTGCGGCTTAAGGTTGAAGATTAGTTAACCCTAAACCCTAAACCCTAAACTCTAAAATGGAAAAACGTGCCACCAAGCGGTTTGAAGGACCAAGATGCTGCAAGTGTTGCTCAAGGCGCCGCGGGAGGCCGCTGATGTAGAGCCTGCTTGGAGGGTCCGGGGACTTAGTAACTGGATATTTTAGAGACTTATAAGTACCATAACCCCAATTAGGGTCCCTTTTAAGGTACTTATAAGTCTACTTACTACCTACTTACTAAGCCACTAAGTCCCCCGACCCTCCAAGGGGCATCTAACACCGTCACATTGAACCATGGGCAATAAGCCATCTCTACCACACTTAGGGCCCCAAAAAGCACATAAGCAACAATTAGGATAGGGATATCCCATATGAATCCCCTTATAATGAAGACCAATAAGGTAGGGATATCCCCATAAAATGCTTATGCTTATGTGCTTTTTGGGTCCCTAAACACTGGCCGGAGGAGTGTACATGAAGCAAGTGGCGTGTAGGCGTCGGGGGTCACCACTTCTTTCCTCTCCCGTGCCACCGCATCCGGGATCGTCTTCTGACAAAACCAGAACCTAGCACGACAGGGACTTTTCCCGGGGATAAACCGTAAACCTAAACCCCTGAACCCTACATGGATAGTTGTAAGTGCGAGTATAGGTCCCTAAAGGGACCCTTAAAGGAACCCTTAAAGTAGGGCTCTAGAGATCCGAAATCTCAAACCCAAAACCCTCAACCTCAGACTTAATCCTGCGCTCGAAGACAAGGGTGGTTGTCAAAATTAGGGGCCTTTTTGGGCACCCTAAATAATAGGTGCCGTATTATAATAAGGACCCAGAAAGGGGCCCTAATTTTGACAACCACCCACAAGCTGAACCCTGCACTGAAACCCTCGAAGCGTAACTCTAAACCCTGAACCCTAAGCCCTACACCCCAACAAGCCCCTCTAATGTAGGAACCTGATTAAGAAACCCTGGGCCTAGAACCCCAAAATAGTAGGATTCATATATAAGGAACCCTAGCAGAGGCTTCTTAATCAGGTTCCTACATTAGAATAGTACCCTTAGAGATCCCTTCTAGTAACCCTTATAGACCCCTTTAAAGGAACCCCGGAAAAGGCCCAGGGATTCTGAATCAGGTTCCTACATTAAGGGCCTGGATACTTCGACGAGGGGCTCGGGAGCTGCTGTTTGGTATAAGGATAAGAACTGGGCTTTGAAGTAACCAGGGAGAAAAAAGCACAGACGTGTTTTTCAGAATTGGTTCCCCTTAAGTAACAGGTCCCAAAAAAGTATGAAAGTATGGTACCCCAAAGCCCAGATATAGTAAACGCCAGAAAGTTGGAATATGTTTATCCTAAACCCTTTATGGTAAATTATAGGGTATCCTACCCTGAAACCATATTCCAACTTTCTGGAGTTCCCTTTAAGGAATCCCAAGGGTTCCTTTTGGGATATTGGAGCCTCTAGCGGCTAGGGACCTTTAATGCTTAGAATACGGCTCAAGGGCTCCTTGCCGGCATAAGTTTATACGGGTTCCTTTAAGGGTCCCCTTAAAGGGATCTATAGGGTTTAGGGCCTACTTTATAAGTGGGGTTATAAGTCTCCGCATATGGGTTGTAAGTTAGAAGTGTGTGTATATATATATATATATATATTTACATATAGACTCCCAAGGGTTCCTTTAAGGGTCCCTTTACAGGGATCTATAGGGTTTAGGGCCTATATACTTGGTAGTTATAAGTGGGGTTATAAGTCCCCTAATATGGGCTGCAAGTTATAAGTGTATCTATATATATATATATATACATACATATATATATATATATATATATATATATATATATATAGATATTATTTATTTACATATAGACTCCCAAGGGTTCCTTCAAGGGTCCCCTTAAAGGGATCGAAGGAGGAGTCGGGAGCCAGGGAGCGCGACGGCCCAAGTGGCGCCCATGGCGACCGCATCCAACAGACCAGCCCAGTAGCTAAAGTCAGCGGCTGGGATGTTGAAGGGACCTTCAGGGTTTAGGGGCTTAAGGGTTTAGGGTTTAGGGTTAGGGGTTTAGGGGTTTAGGGGTTTAGGGGCTTAGGGGTTGAGGGGTTTAGGGGTTTAGGGGTGTAGGGGTTAGTGTTTCAGGTTTTTTTTTAAGTTTCAGGTTTAGGGTTTGGGGTTTAGGGTTTCGGGTTTCGGGTTTGGGGTTTAAGGTTTAGGGCGACAGCGCGGCTCGGCTGCATAGGTTGCAAGAGGGGCTGCTGTGAGGGTTACCATAAGACATAATATGGGAAGGCTTACTATAAGGGTTACTATACGGCCCACTTATAGAACGTAGTATTAGGGTTTAGGGTTCAAGGCTTTGGGGCTTTAGAGTTCAAGGGTTTTTAAATTGATAGGGTTTTAGGGCTTTACGGCTTGAGGGTGCTACGGCTAGTCTTAGGTCGGCCAGGGTGTGTTTTTTCATTTTGTTTCTGCTGTTGCCCCTTTGCCCCTTTTTGCTCACGTGCCGAGTTTTTCTTCTTGCTTGCGTGTCGTTGGCCTCGAGGAAGTAGTCTTGTTTTTGCTGTCGCCCTGCCGGGACTTTTTAGACCCAACGGACTAGGCCAGACGTTTGTTGTCATTGGCTCGCCGGGTTCGGCGGGGCCGGAGTTCTATGAACCAGCGACATGGGTCGCGAGGATAAAGGGACAAACAAAAAAAACAAGCCGGACGCCGGTGGTGCTTTTTTTTGTTCGCGCCCCGCCCCGACGCTCACTCACTCACTGCGGGCCAGGGCCACGACGCTTCCCGGGCCGGGTGGTGGTTCTTTTACTGGCTCCGGCCCCGCCGAACCCGACGAGCCAACAACAAACATCGTCTGGTCTACTGCATCGGGTCTAAAAAGACCCGGCGGGGCAACTTCCTCTTAGGTCGAGCGCTTACGGTTTACGGTTTAGGGTTTACGTGTTTAGGGGTTTAGGGCGTAGGGCATAGGGATTCAAGGCTCAAGGCTTCCGCCGTAGCTCTACTCAACTTTTGTTGCTTCATATACACGGCTACACTGTACCAAACTCCAAGACTCTCCAAGACATTGAGAATACAAGGGTCTGAAGAATCAGAAATACTGCCCCCTAATGGCACCGAGCAGCTGCTGAAAGCAAAAAGCCGCCCTATATTGTGGAATTGTAGATTCCTTCTCAACCTCCTACAGAACCCCGTTAATGAACCCTTCAAGAACCTCTTCGAAAATCGCCTTCAAGAACCCTTGCAGGACACCATGGACCTTTTCAAGACCCCTTAGAGAACCCTAAGGTGGCTGCAACTCAGGTCCATCCCTAAACCCTAAACCCCTAAACCCTAAACCCTAAGCCGTCAAGCCCTAAACCCTAAACCCTAAGCTCTAAACCCTAAGTCCATCCGGACCTGAGTTGATGGTTCCATTCTTCTGTAGATTGCCCAGCGTGCTCCATGCCAGGACCTGGGTTTCGGGCTTTGGGGTTTCAGGGCTTTTAGGGCTTAGGGCTTAGGTGCTTCGCGCTTTAAGGCTTTAGGGTTTTGGGTCCTGAACCTCTCTGCCCTAAAAAACTGGACCTTCTTTCAAAAAGGGTGGACTAAAAAGCACTCGGAGGACACCAAGCTCTCCCGTGCCCGCATCGATGTTGTCAAGTCCATTCCCAACCAGGCTGAGCAACAGCAGCGGCAGCACCAGAATGCTACAGAGAAAGAAGGTGATGCCAAGACGCACCGTGAAGCGGAAATAAAGGGAGATACCTGGGCCATACTCTTGGAGATCGGCAGCCTTCGTAGACCATACTGGCCACAGCTTCCCCGCAGGATCTCGGCAAAGGCATTGCCGCAAATGTGCGTGAGCGGCGACGATCAACTGCTTCTTCTCGACAGTGCCGCCGTGCTCCTGTTCCTCCGCGCGCAACACCTCGCGTTTTCAACAACCGGACCCAGAACAGTTCGATCTTATCAAAGTGTAAGGTCTACAGAAGCTAAAAGCGCTCTCCTTGGCTATCCAAGACACCAGTGAGCGGTCAGTTGCTAGTGCCAGGTCGCGCTGAAAAGCCAAGGTTTGATGAGCCGCGCTCTCCAACTTCCTGGGTTCTTGTTAAGGAATTGAATTGAAGTTACCATAATAAGGAAACCCGATTATTTGCTGGAGATCCCTGTTGTTCTGGTAACTTTAGTTCAATCCCCTTAACCCCTAAACCCTTATAGAGCCTTATAGAACCCTTAAAGGGACCCCCTATGTTATGGTAACTTAACCTAATCTGACTCCCCCAATAAGCCACAGAAGTAAAAGGTTAGACTGTCCGGCTCCCACTGAACCATAAGAACCCAAAAAGCTCAAAGGCTGGGTACTAGGGACAAAAGTAATAACAAGAACCCAGCTTCTCTTGGGCGATGACGACTTCCTGCATGAGCTCCTCGAGCTGCTCCTTTGCCAGAGAGATGGGAGTTTCCGAAATTAGGGGTACCTTGTGTTGGAGTCCCTCATAATAAAGATCCTACTACTTAGCACACTATGTTCGGGTCCCCTATCTTTTGGAAACTCCCAGATGGATTTTTATATGCTGTACTGTAATACGAAATCTACCATATAATATACGATATTCTATGGTAGGTTTCGGCTCAAGATACCATATTCTACGACACTCTACTAAACTGTAGTCTGCTCCTTGGCCACGGCGAGGTCCGGTTCTTGCGAAACAGACTCCGCCTGCTTCCTGACCCACTTCTGAAGGCCAGTGACGAAAGCCTCCACGCTCTCCTTCGTTCGTGTGCAAGGATTTAATTTATATAAGTTGCCATAGTAAAGGAAACCATGTTGTTTACTATAGATCCAAATTATGGTAATGTGGGAACCTGATTAAAAAAGACCCTGTGCCTTTAATGCCAAAATAATAGGATTCATATAAGGGGCCCTAATGAAGGCCCAAGGCTTCTTAATAAGGTTCCTACTACAATATCATACTACCTACCTGTTATCGATACCTTATGAATTATCCATCCCTTATAATAACCCTTACTTGGAGATTCATGGGTAGTTACAACTAGGGTTATAAGCAAGGTAGGTATACTTATAACCCATATTGGGGGACTTATAACCCCACGTATAACTACCCAAGAACGTCGAAGTAGGCCCTAAAACCTATACCCTTCTAGAATACCTAGAGATCCCTTTAAAGGGGCCCTTAAAGGAACCCTTATAACTACATTATGGTAAGCCCCAAACGGGACGCTTCAAGGAACCCTTACAACTACCCAGGAACCTCCAAGTAGGAGACCAAAGCTTAAGGAACCCCAAATAAGTAGAGGTCCCTTATAGATCCCTTCTACTCACCCTTATAGATCCCTTACAGAACCCTTATAATAACCCTTATATTGTAGTAACCCTTATAGATCCCTTATAGATCCCTTATAGTAACCCTTATAGATCCCTTATAGATCCCTTGTAGATCCCTTATAGTAACCCTTGTAGACCCCCTTTAAAGGAGCCCCTAAGAAAATTCCCAGCAAGAACCCAGTGACCAGCTCTCGGGTCGGATCTTGGAACTCCCTCTTCGGCTCCGCATCGGCCCTTCTGGGGACTTCCGACAGCTTCTCGGCCTGGGCTTCTTGTTAAGGGGAAATGGGGTTTAGGGTGTAGGGTTTCAGTTTTTTTTTTTGAGCACCTTTTTCCGTCTAGCAGTTAAGGTCGACAGAATCCAGGGTTTACGGTTTAGCGTTTAGGGCTTCTTGTTAAGGGGAAATAGGGTTAGGGGTTAGGGTTAAAGGTTTAGGGTTCAGGGTTGAGGGTTTAGTTACATAGGAATTAAAATAAGTTACCACAACTTAAGGTTCCTTTGAGGGTTCCATAAGGGTTTAGGGGTTAAGGGGATTTAGGTTAAGTTACCATAATAAGGAAACCCTGCTCTTTACTATAATATTATGGTAGCTTGAAAGACATTTCTTAACAAGAACCCAGCAGCTTCTGGGAGATCTCCGTTTCCAGGGGCAGCGTCTGCCCTGGGCGCGTTCGCCGCAGCTTCCGGGAGATCTTCGCCGGGCCCCTCCGGCAGTTCCAAGAGCGGCTGCCCCTCGACAGCCATGGCATGGACTCTGCGGGGAGCGGCAGGCGAGTTTAGGGAGCAAGACCTAGGATTTAGGGTTTAGGGGTTAGGGAGCAGTGTCGCCCTAAAATGGCTTGGAAGAGAACCGAGCCAGTTTTTTCGACGCTTCACAGTTACCCTGTTGAGGCAACCCGCCCTGCCATGCGTGTGAGGATTGAAAGACCTGTGGATGAGGGAGACCATCTTTGCTGTTACCCATACAATTGCAAGGCCACTCGCCTGGAGCAAAAGCAAGCAATCACAATGCATCCAAAATGGAGACCACCCCTAAACCCTGAACCCGAAACTCCATTCTGATTGAGAGCCTTATGGAGAGCCCAAGACCAAAACTCTGACATCAGGGATGAACCCCGATGCCGGCAACGAGACAAAGCAACTACGAACGAATCGGCAGACTGGGCAATCAAGAACATCCGTTCTGCTGACCCCTAGACCCCGAATGCTGGACACTAAACCCCCAACTAAAGACCCTAAACCCTAAACCTCAACCCGAAAGCCTAAACCCTAAACCCGCAACACGAAACCCTCCTTTCCAGACTCTAGACCACAAGCGAAAATCCTAAAGTAGGGTTATAGGTAGGGTACATATACTTATAACCCACATCAATCGACTTATAACCACTTATAACTAGCCATGAACCTCCAAGTAGGCCCTAAACCCTATCACCTCAAAGAAACCCTACAGATCCCTTTCAAGGGACGCTTGAAGGAACCCTTATGACTACCCAGGAACCTTCAAGGAGGAGACCCAAGGATCCAAGCTCAAAATCCGACGCCCCCATCACCGCTACTACCTGGACCTTTCGGAGCCATGGTTCAGGCTTTAGGGTTTAGGGGTTTAGGGGTTTAGGGGTTTAGGGG